TCTTAACTCAAAATAATTTGCTAATTTTCGTGATTTTTCCATATTTTGTCAATTTTTGAACTTTAAATGCTTATAAAAAAAAACTGTGGCTAACGATTTTTAATATTTTTCATCTGCCTTTGAAACAATATACTAGGAGCCTTCTATTAAATTTTCAAGTTTTTTTAACCAACAAATAAAATTTTATTGATATTTCTAGAAAAAAAACTAAAAAAAAATGAAAAATGAAAATGTCCCTAAACAGTTCAAAATAAATCAAAATATTTTGAAAATATTATCGTGTAAAAATATTATTCTGGGATATATCGCAGGGGTGGAGTGGCCGGTCTGGAAATGGGAATTTTCCAGATGGCCTGGACCATACTATGGCCTGGTGGCCTGGCCATTTTGTTAGATTTTTTTTTAAATTTAATTTAATTTACAAAATATTAGTTAATGCTAAATGTTTGTTTCTATTAAATTATTGTATTACAATTTACAAATATTATTAATGCAATAATAGTACATTGTGATAGCCTCGTACAATCGTATACTCTTATGAGAAAGCTTTGGATATAAAATTACAAAATATTTAATACATAAACATAGGCGTGTCTACGGTGGCAGCCTAGGGTGCCTGGGCTGCCCCTGCAATTTTTCAATGGTGTCGGTCAACTGAGTTTTAAATCAGAAGGGTCACAACATTTTTTTTTTTTAAACTATTTTTTATGTGTACCGTTATAATAACCGTTTACTTACAAAGATATGTTCAACAAAATTAGGTAGATAATATCTTTATTTAACATGTATTGTCAAATTGATTTCCTGACTTCGGAAATCGGAAATACCTACTATAAAAACTTGAGACAGACAACGACGACGGTACGGTACGCATCCATAGGTATTATTGATATTATGTTTGATTTGTAGCTAGGTGGTGTAATCCAAGGCTGTAGATTAATAATATTTCTGAAGTTACTGTAGATTATTATTGTAAATAGATAATTTGGGATTTTTTTTAATTATATAAATATTTCATTGTTGAGTGGGAGGGGGGCTTAAAAAAATACGGCTTTGGGTGTGTAGGGCTTTTTTTCGGTTCACTAATAAGGTAGCGCCGATCATTAGCTAGGCTGACCCTGCCGATGAAGTCTAGTCACGCCTATGTAGGTACATAAATATAGACATCAAATAAAATCAAAGCAATATAATATTGCAGATATATAGGTCGGTTATTTTTATAATAAAAAACCAATTTTAAACATTGAAGTATTTAAAAAACAGGCTGAGAAATCCAATGACCAATGATTATCTTGAGTCTTTTATGCTTATGGCCATTGAAAATAAAATTATCATGGAAATAGATAACAATATTATCATAAATGCAGTTGGTGAGAAATCTAATCTATTATCTAAATTATTACTATGAATGTATAAATCTTTTTTATTATATATTGTTTACAATGTATGTATTTATCTATTACTTATTACCTTATATCTACTATACCTAAACAATTAAAACACAATGTATAATATAATTATTAATATTTCGTTGATTTCAACTATTAAACCATACCTACTAATTTTATTTTTCAGACTTTCAGGAATAAGTACTTATAGTGTATTAATATAATGTGTTAGAAGATAGACGTTAAAAAGAATAGCAAGATAGTGATTGAAATACTTTTATAATACTAATAGTAGTTTTCAAATAGGTAAATAGAAAAATCAAATTCGAGCTTGGCGAGAAAAAAAATTTTGGTGGGTGGCCTGGATACATTTTAAACTCCCGGCCTGGATTTGGTTCCCACTCCGCCCCTGGATATATGAAACTGAAAAATCAAAATATTATGGCCTATCCATACAATCTACCATAGTATAAGGAATAAGAATTACGCTCATGATAAGACTGTGCATATTTTAAGGAATTTATTCATAAATTCCATATAATTTAATACCATAAAAAAGTATATAATATGTCTTAAACCTAGACGGACATACAGTCCCCGCTCAGAATCGTTTTTCTTATACAATGATATTATATCATTGAATTCAAATTTAATACCATCCATTATACAGTGACCCACTAGTAACCTACTGTACAGCAGAGCACCTTTTTTATATAACTACCTACCTACTATCAAAAAATATCCCAACTTATTGTAGTAGGTACAATTTTATTTAGCTGATACTGATTATATGAATGTAGTATTAATGTGAAGATGTTTTCATAAACCCTGTATAATATATGATAACTGATAAGATTTGAAATAATCTACGTTGTAAGCAGAGCCGTAGCAATGTTTATTAGCGCTCCTGGCCATTTATCATATTTCCGCCCTTATAATTTTTTTTAACCCCCCCCCCCCTCACACACACATATAAAAGACTTATGCATTCGCTATTTTATTTTTAATAGTAAAAATTATAATATTAATAAAAAAAAAAAACAATAGTAAACACTGCCAAACTTATTAAAACCTTATAAAATAATCAAAAAAAAATTATTTTTTACATTTCAAAATTTCACTTTTCGTGCTTTTTTGGTAGTATATAATTAAACTCCACTTTAGAAGGTTTATATTTTTTTTTATTAAGAGTATACTATAGGTATACGTATAGGTACTACACATGCGTTTGTTGTCTCCGTATTACAAACCTACGACATAGCAAATTTTCGTTCACTAGTTTCAATAATGTGCTGTTAGTTTTTATATCAATGGTGATGGTCAATTATTAATATTAACTATGGATCTATTATTAAACTTTTAGTTTAAAACATTAGCTGTGCTTAAGCGTCGACTTTTATTCGATATTTAAATTTCCAAGCATTATATAAAGTATCACAAATTAAAAATGCTCTTATCTCGCTTGAAAATTAAAATATGGAATAAAATCAGACGCTTAAGCATATATTATAATGTTCTTAACCAAAATTTTAATAATAGGTCAAAACACTCTAAATATAAAAACTCACAGCACACTATTGTAACTAGTGAACGAATATTTGCTATGTCGCTCGTATGTGAAACCTATAACAAAAGGATTGGTAACGTCCAGATATAATTTAAAAAAAATAAAATAAAATCTTTTAAAATATAATTTAAAAAATAAATTTATATTTTCAATAAGGAAATAAAATTTCTCAGACTCATTAAATTTATGTTTAATCATTAAACTGAATTAAAGATATTTTTTTATCGATATCACTATCAAGCTAGTTGTCCAAATTACTCTATAATAATAAAGATAAATATCTAACCTTAGATTATCAAAAATAGTCCGTAGGATTAAAACAAATAAAATAAAATAGATACTTGGTGTGAACTGTGAAGATAATTTTTAAGACAATATTAGACTAATATTAATTATTATTTCTTTTTCTTAACTCCAAATAAGATTTAGAGGATTTTAAAATAATTAATCAATTAATTGAATAAACGTATTATTTTTTTTAAATAGGTGAACAAACTATCTTAATGTATTACTTAAATTCAAATTTGATCGATAAAAACCAACGAATGTTAATAGTGACTTCTTGTATACCAGTATACCTACTAGATATTTACTATTTAGTATTTACATTCTTATAAACAATTATTTTGTATAAATCTAGGTTACAACTTAATACTTATATTAATATATTATGAACTACAATTAAGTAAATTCATTTAATTTTGTATAATTATAATTAATAATAATTAGGAATTCACCGTAGAACTGTTGTGGAAGTTCTTCCTTTCACTGACTAATATAAAATTACTAAATATTGAAATAGGAGTATCTACCTACCTATAAATATGACGACTGACGGGACTAAGGGAGTCTTTAAAATATAATAAATTTAGAATCCTAATTTTAACTACATGCAGCTAATATTTAATAATAATGATCGATTTTCAAAACTACCATGTTGATAATTGACTTGCGTGCCGAGATGGTTGTATAAGCAGCAGTTTAAACAACTATCAACACAAATAAAAACACACTATTATCGGCTACTAACTGTTCTTAAAATATCACTCGGGTACCCGGGCCTAATATTACGTAATATTATAATGAGTTATTATTCTTAAACACCTGTAAATAATAATTGTAATATATTTGTATAATATACAATACCTACACGGCTACACTATAAAATAGTAGGTAGGTATATTTTCTAGGGTAAAATGTAAATTATTAAGAATACCAATAAATAATAATAACATATGTATATATATATATTGTATGGTATATTTTATTCTGGATTTTGCGCCCCTTTTTCGTTGCGCCCCTGGCCTGGGCCAGTCTCGCCAAGCCCTAGCTACAGCTCTGGTTGTAAGCCCTATTTATGCTGTCTAATTAAGATAGTTTTTACATCAATAAAAAATGCTCAAAATCGTAGAATTTGTTACTAACTCATACAACTGGATGTCACTAAAAATGTATCTCTCATTACATTTTATGGAAATAACAATTTTTTTATTCATATTATGGTGAAATATGTGTTCCGTCTATCTGCTTCGTAATGATGGCATATTTTTTATAGAATTATTATATTTAGCTTGGATTATATTTGCATAAATGCATATTTATGTACCTATATATTATTATACTGTTTGGTTCCTTATGCTTTGTGAATATAGGTATATTATCTAATACTTATATGGACTTATATGTTCAATATAGACGTGTCTACTGTCTACATTATTCTACAATACCTATCTGCAGCGTAAATGTTGTTGTATAAATACCTAATATAGATCTATAATTAATTGTTGTAACTTGTAGCTAATGTATTTCAAATATAGATTATGACAAGAATAAAACAAATAAGTAGTTAATGATTATTTTTTTTTATATTGTTTTAGCAAAAATACCGAATAATTAATTCTAATGAAAATATATAATTTACAATTAAAAAAAGTTGGAGGGGGTGGAAGAGACTGTGCAGGGAGATTTCTGGGTGTCAATCATTAGGTAAAACAAACTAAGCAATAAGGCACGGGTGGGTAGGTATGGAGGGTAAAAACACATATTCAAAGCTTCGACTGGATTACCGTCTGCACAACGGCGGAGGGGGCGCATCTTTTGTGTACGTCTACTGCGCGCACTGCGTAGTTGTGGACGACGTTCTTCTTTCGGAAAGGCAACTTGCATTGCATGGGCAACGGGCCAGCTTTGAAGTACTTGATCTTTTTCCACGAGTCGCCCGACACCGGCGTGTCGCCGCGGTATCCAAACAGCTCGTAGCCTTCGACGCGCGCGTATTTGGGAAGCATTGATGGCGACGCCCGCTCGTCCCATTCCAACGTCACAACGTCGTTGACGAAGCTCAGCGTCAGCACGGGAGCCAATGGTACCTTTTTCCACGAACTGTTCACGGCGTGCCGCGGAACCGGTGGATACGACGACAAGTTATAAGGCACGGCGCCGCTGCTATTGCTTCCGTACACCACCTGCATGGCCAACTCCGTCTTGTCACGAACGGCTTCCTCCGCCATGCCATGAAGGTCCTCCTCCGCACTGTCGAGAACGGCCACGGCCACCCCGATAACGGCCTTTGCCATCCTCAACAGTCCGCTTTGACGGACTAGAACTTTCGACGCGCAGTCTTCGTCCCGATCGACCAATCGTCTCTTTGACATGGGACACGGCTTGCGCTTGGCCGCGGTAACTGTGTTTTTTTTCTGTTTTTTCGTGCTTAACATCGCGAAACTCGTATTGTTTAGACGAATATTATTATTAGATATCTATCGCACGAAAGACAATGAAGGTACAAAGAAAATATGTCGCGAGTTATACTGAGTAGACAAACCAAGTTAATTGCTACGCTAGGGTAAAGAAAGACGGCATTAGTACCTACATAGGTACGATATTAAATTAATTTGTTTTTAACACTCTCAAAAATATAACATTACCGTGATATTGTCTTAAATCAGGCACTGAAGTTGATACGCATCAATGGAACATGCTGGTCACTATAAAATATCTTATTTACTCTATGTCCAAAATAGAATGAACAGCTGATATGAATTTTTATTATTTTATTTCCTCTACACAACTTATTTACGAATAATTTTTTACTTATTCTCACTTTTTAAATATGTGTACAATTAAAATGTTCTAATTACAAAATATTATTGATAATATTTATCAACCATCACTATAATGTGTGCTAGGGACGTAATTTCGGGTTTTTTGTTGTGGGATGTGCTTAGATATTAAATATCTATATTTAATATCTATGGGGGTGTGCACTGTGTAAGGTTTCTAGCTAGCCATATTGATAATTAATCTATGTATAAATATTATCGTGCATTTAATTGTTTCCATCAGTGACGTAGCAAGAGGGGGGGGGGGTCCATGGGGTAAGCCCCCCCCAAAATGTCATCGACGAAATTTTTTTTTAAATATGAGTAGAACGAAAATACAATGATTTTTTTTTGTACTGGTAAACCTAATAATTAATTATAATATGTTATGGAAAAAATTACAAAATAATACGGTCAGCACACACATAAATATATATATAGGTACTCGTATGACTTATACGTATACCTTATAGCTGGGTATGAGGTAGATACATATATATATATAAATATATACTTAGACGATAAACCCTCGTATAAACTATAAACTCCATAATAACCATGTTGATAAGAAATGACACGGTAGGTACTAATTAGTAGGTACCAAAGTTAAGATAGATTTGTAATATAATAATCATGATTGTCCTTTATCATCTGACTAGATCGTACAATTTATCTTTTATTGTTATACTAATCGTATCGCGTATACAATTTAAAGCAAAATGCCAAAATATAATATTATACCAATATACCATACTCGTCTGTGTCGTCAGTCGATGTTTGTCTACTTTCATATAAACGTACCTACGGTAAATTTTATTTCATTTTATTTCTGTGCGACTGTGCTGGTTTCTGTTTCGTTTTTTGTTTTTAAATAATCAAATATGAAGAGAGGAGCACTTGACAATTTTTTTAAACCAAAATAACCATTTACTGGCTTGCTTTTCAATCAACATGAAAGTCAAAGAACATAATCAACCAGTGTGCAGTAGGTACTTCAATAATTGGCTAAAGTGCACTTTACCACCCCATGCATATTTTTCGATTTTTTTTTTTTGAACTTAAGTAACTCATCGAGTTAAGAACGATGCTGCAATCAGAATTTGTCGCTCTCACTTAGTTTCGAAGTTATGGCCCCTGGAAGTAAGCAATTTTGCGTTTTTTTACGCATGAGCGCAACGCTACGTGACGCGTCTTTCGCGATTTTTTTTTTCTTATTCGTGAGACTACTAAATAAAAAATAAACGAGTGAACAAACACGGGACTAAGAGAGGTCAACTTCACTGGAACGCAGCACTTGACGTAGTATGACATTTTAATTGTGTATTAAAATATAGTTTCTTTAATAATATAATATAATCTAAAATCGTATTTATAATTGAATGATTATATATTATCAGGTAGGTAGGTACCCACTATAGGTATAATGCGAGAATTTATTTAAACCATATTGATATTATTTACTTTTATCAACATCGATTATGTAAGTTTTTATAAAATATATTTTATACTCATTTCTTTTGTAACATCAAAATGCTCCAAAAAAGTATATATATTTAAAAAATGGGGTTAACAGCGATATTTAAGTTTATCAAATACATCTATAGCGTCTTTTAAATTTATATTATTACCTCTTTTACAACTTTAAGAACAATGAATTAGTTTAGGATTCATCACCCATAAAGTGTGTAAAAGTTATAAAAATATGTTTTACATATTTTTTGACCGATAAAAGAAACATTTACCTACTCAATTAATTGATAGAACTCTATATTTTGTTTATTTATTTCATATGTTAATCTGAAGTACAATTTTAATTTAATTACATAAATAATGGAGCATTATTTCAGTGGCCAATTGGCACTAATTTAAAAGTAGAGGGTGCTACCACACACCCTGACCCCTTCCAAATGACGCCCAGGACGTGTGCCAAATTCCATTGAACCTAAACAAACATAATATTTAAAATGTAATTTTTAATTTTCGATGATAGTGAAGTTCAAAAGTAAATATATGAAAAAAATTATTGAATATAGGTAACAGTTAAACTGCAGCGGACCTCCCGGAGCTTCTGTGTGGGTCCGACTTCGACGTCCTCCCTCCGGACCCAGAAGAAAAAGGAATTTCGCTGGCCAACGCCAACGAAGCTTTCCGGCTATTCTACAAAATGGTTGAGGACATCCTTTCGTAGAAGGAAATCGAAGAAAGAGCAAGGCAGGCGGCTGGGAGATGAGCTCGATCACTGGACTCGGACATCCGATCCTCGGTCCATCAGACGTTTTGATGTAGAGGTCAAAGGTTAATTGGTTCTTCATCTAACAATCGTTAATCTAACAATTCGATGTTTTTTATATATCGGTAAAATTAATAATTAAATTATGGTAATCATCAGAATTGGTTAGATATAATATGCACTAAACCATTTTTCTTATTATTTGTATATACCAGCCTTAATAAAGTCATCATAAAGTCATTAGTAACACTTCAATTCTCTTACTTCATTTATAACAGTTTAAATTAAGAAGTGATGGATAATTGTTGCAAAAACTTGTCTGGTTATTTACAGTTACAGATAATTAGAATTTTAATAAACAGTACTTACACTAAAAATACAGTCTAGGTATAATTAACAATTATATTAATTATATGTTTACATATTTAAAATCATAATTAAGAGAAATATCCACTTTCATATTTAAGTAGTTGTTTAAAATAATAAAATCAATATTTTAATTATTAACTATTAAGTATTTAAGATTAAGACAATACTAAATTCTAAAGAAAAATATTAATTTGACTCGGGTATAATCAAAACACAAATTAAATTAGTTAATTTTTGTTTATAATACACATTTAGCACTTTTAATAATGACTAATGAATAATAATAATAATTTATGTGTGAATACTTACATTTGAAAAGCATTTAGTCTAAGAAATTAAGAATGTAAATTTATAATTTTTTATGTTACTGGATCTTTAATAAAAGGTACTTAATATTGTAAATGAAATATGACAAGTTTGTACCTATTTAAGTAAATTAAATAAATAAATTATATTATATTGAGAACTGAGATTAAGAAAGTTTTTTTTACCAAAACTTGAATTTGAGATTACTATTCAAAACCAAATTTTATTCAGATTACATAAACTTTTAAACTTAAAACCATTTTTTAACCAGTTCAATTTTGTGGTTTAGGCAAGTTATTAAAAACTATTGTATATAATTCAGTTTAAAAAGATGTTTCGCTACTATTCATGATTATTAATTGTTAGCCAATGATTATATAATAATATATTACATGATTTTTATCAACTTTAAAGTAAATATAAGCTGTGTATTTTTACAGGAATGTTTTAAATTAATTAAATACATTAAATTTTTTTAAATGAAAAAAATGTGTTGCAAAATAACATTAAAATTAATAATTGACACAAGAATAATAGTGTGTTCAATGACAAAGGTACCACAAAATATTTCAAACGCATGACCTTGAATTTCATTTGGGTTTTTATTACTGCATAAGGACTTAATAAAACCTTTTATTGAAAAATTTAAATTTTCCATGCATGCACAACCAAACAATATTTTTGTTTCAATTTGTATTACTTTTATTTTTTTAAACATCTTTGACTCATTATGTATTTTTCTGTCTTAAAAATTGACTTATTGAGAGGGGGCCAAAGTATAATTTATGCATATTGTATCATTTATCATATTTTTTAACAGTCTATCTTGAATTCTACCATGTTCCATGTGATTTTGTATGTTTTTTTTTAAATTCTGGTGTGGGTCGTAAGTAAACCACAATTACATTATTTTCACCAAATTATTAATATACTGTTAAAAAAAATATGCTAATTACAACATGCATAAATCAAAAATTTGGCTCATTCTCAGTAATTCCATTTTTAACTCAAAAAAAGGGGGTTACAAATCAAATAATATTATTCTGTTGTAGATGCGCAAGATTTTTTCAAAAATAAATATAATGTTAAGTTATTTAAGCAATAAAAAAAAACTCAAATGAAATTCAGTCATGTGTTCAAAAATATTTATTGTTACCTTTATTGTTGAACACTGTATATTTATTTAATTTAATAAATTAACTAATTTTTAAAACAAAAAAAAAATGTAATTTAATGTAATACTACAGTATAATAAATTGTAATTATGTAGTAAACCTAAATTAGTATTTTTTTTTTGTTATTATTACTTACCTCTAGTGCCTTCCCCCCTACCATGGCTACAGCACAACTGTCTTGTGATAATTTGATTTTTTGTTATTCTATCCAAGTTATTTTGTCACTACTATATAATTACGTCTTAATATATTTCTTCTTTTACAGACCTTAATTACCCAATAATTATCCTTGAATTAGTATATAAATACATTAAATACTATTTTGTGTTACATTATCGAATAACGCATTCAAGACTTTAATGTAAACATATTCATGTTAATTTTTAAACTACTAATAAAAAGTAAAAACGATTATAATGTAATATACATTAAAAATAATAATAACATTATTTTATTTATTAACTAAAATATCAAGCCTCAATTTTAGAAAAAAAATTAATTTTACTATAAATAATCATAACACAACTGGAAGTAGTTTGTTTTTATTGATAATAAAAATGTAATATAATGAATAATAATAATAATAATAATAATAATAATGTATATTGTGTAAATACTGACTCATTTTTTATAGTAAGACAATAATTAGGTATCTCGGAATATTTAATAAAATTAATATATTTTTTTTACAATTTTAGATACAAGTTTTATATACTTTTCCAATCTAAAACTTTACAACTTTATAATACCTATAAAAAGAAAAACAAATATTCCGAAATTCATCATGTCAAATAATAAAAAATCAGACTGTATAAATATTTTAATATAATAAATGTATCGAAAATATGAATTGGAAAGGGAATGTATTTTAAGGGTTAATATAAAATACGACCTAATCTAAATTTCTTACATCTAATTTCTTAATATTTCTAAACTTAAATTAAATTAAATTAAAAATTATACATAATATAATAAGAAAAGTGCAATTATGTACATATTTATTTTATGAGTATCTAATAACAAAATGTTTTTTTTTTTTTTTAATTGGAAATATAACATAAATATTATTGGGTTAAACTCATAAAACTTATAATTTAAACTTAACATAAATGTTTTATTTTTAATACATTTAAATTATAGATACAAATTTCTATTCATATTGATACAAACTGACATTGTATGATAGAATTAACTGTTTTATACAAATGAATATCATATTAAAATAAATATTATAAATCAAACCATAATAAAAGTTAGTTAATGAAGTTTGTTAACATTTACTTTTATGAAAATAGGTAGAAATTTACTATTATAAAAGTATATTAAACCATTATTGTGGTTCACTATAATGATCTTTCATTTCACTGCATGTGATTAAATACACCAGTATGAACATGGCGAGTAAGTGACCAATTAAATTTTAATCAATATACATTTTAATTAATTAAAATGATTTGTCATATTTAATTTAATTCTCTGATGACTAGAAGTAATATTTATTTCCAACTAATCTTTTAAATAATCAAAACATTTAAGAGAATTTTTTTCTCGAGTTATTTCTTAAGAATTATACATAAAATGTCTTAGTTTAAAACATTATCACATAAATTACGATTTATTTAGGGACCCATTTCAAGTTGTGGAATTATTTGAAAATTATATTGATAAAAAATAACTTATTAAAAATATAAAGTTATTAGTTTTTCTGATTTTTGACGAACCCTAGAAAAAAGATCCCTTGAATTATAACGTAACTTTGGCATCAATCAGGTCTAATAAGTCACTTAAATCCCGACAGAAAATAATTAAAATTCAGTCAAAGTTATACTACCAAAATAATTAAATCAAATACATCAAACGTTATATGAATAAAATAAAAAAAAAATTAAACACATAAATATATTTGGTAAACAAAAATGTTATGATACTAAACACTTTAAACAAAATATTTTTTGTATATTTATTTATAATTATAATATAAAAACATGATAATAATACGTAATGATGTTTTCCGTTTTCTAAACTACATAATATTATTATAATCTGTAAATTTAGAAAAAAATATTTAATATGGTACCAGTTTATACAAGTGGTGTCAAATTAAAAAGGGAATGTTACACATAGTATAAATTATTAAATTAAAAATTAAAATCTTTATCACAACTGTTTTGTTGAAAACATTTGATTTGCGATAAGATATAATTTAGGGGTGGAGAGATGATGAGAAACGATCGACGGTTCAATAAGTTAGAAATAATATCGAGAATGGATTATTATAGTGTGACTGGTGAAAATAATTTAAAATAAGAGGAAACGACAAAGTCGTTATAAATTTAAAGGGTTTGATTAAATTTAATATTAAATTTTTTTTTTCGTACTGCTAACGTTATTAATTTAAAAAATACTAGTATGGAAGAAAAACATTACCCAGTCTTATTTATTTGGAAACAACAGGTAACGAATCGAGGAATCATCATTTAAATTAAATTAAAATTAATACTATAGGAGAGGGTGTTGGTAGTTCACCATCCTTGAAGTCTGAAACAAATATTTATTATATTTATTAAGATAAAAATGTTAGTGTTATATCAAAACTAATAAATTTTTACCTCAAGTCATCCTGTTTGTTGTGATTATGAATAACAATTGCTCCAGTATAACTGTCAATTCCGGGGTCTGCCATCTGGCATTGATGGTCCATAATGATGTTCGTACAGACCTGAAAAATGTATTGAAGTATATAAAGTATAAACTAGGTGAATTCAGGGCATTAATTGACATTAATTTATAAATTATTTATAATAATGTATAAATGATTTGCCAAAAGAAAGCGCATAATTACTTAACTAGGATTATGAACATTATGAACCATAAGGGTTAATTAAATTAAAGTACTTACTAAATTAATTACATATAAATATTATTTTGTTATTATTAATAATTATTGATACCTTATTACAGATATTATTACAGGTTCTCAGTAAGAGGAAAAAATCATATCTTTGGAGAGTTAATCTTTAAATTTCTTCTAATAGTATTCCTAATTTTTAATTAATGTTTGAATACTATAAATATACACTGTAGAAATAATTTTGTGACTATTGTTTATAACCGATTAGTTTAAGTAAAATGAATTACAAATTAACTTGAATTAGATGTAACATCCTTAAAATATAATAGTAATAATTTAAATGATCAGCAAACCTGAGAATTGTTAAATGTTACTTGAAAATCTAAAAAATGTCACTATATTTAAAATGTTTTAATGACATTTATGAATGCAGTTAAAAATCTCATTACCTGGATGTTATAAAATTTATCTGATTTTTTTTAATCTACCTTTACTTGTTATTTCTTCCATTGTCAATTCAGTACATTCAGCTCCTGTATGATTCTGTCCTCCACAGTTATAGCATGATACTTTTGGAGGATGATAAGCCAACACTTGAGGTTGCATTAAGACTGGCGTTGTAGTATAAAACGTTTGTGAAGAAGATGGATAATAAACAAATTCAGTAGGTTGTTGATAAACTTGCTGATACTCAGGAGATTGAACAATATGTTGTTGGGGTATATATTGTCGTGGCATAGGAGAAAAACCTGACATCGGTTGAGAAGTTTGAGGTTGATGAACATAATATGCTTGAGTATTATAACCTCGAGCACTTGCTCCGTTATCATACGCCATAGTATAGTATTGTTGACCATTGTTGGGTACTTTAGGATGAGTTTTATGAACATTTTCCCTTGCTGGTTCATTAAAGGACGACACTGCAAGTGCCCCTGCCATAGGTTTTCTGAAACAAAAAAAAGTATTAATATATTTATCTGTTTAATCTAGTATTTTTGAGAATATATTTTATGTAAAGTAAAAAATTATATTTTTAATCATTCATTTTAATTATTATGTATTAAGTATTTAAGTTAATTGCTTAATTCAAGGGCGTCATTTGCGGTATGCAAGGTATATTATATCTGTGTACCTAAAATTCTGTATTATAATAAATGTTTGGTCTATTGAGGGCAGGCGTAACACCATAAAAAAAAAATTAATTAATAATTTGATAAGATATATTGTGCTCTAGAAAATACTACCTAATAGGGTACATTTGTTTTAAATGTAGAAAACAGAAGAATAAATAGGATCTGTTTTTGTTAATTTTTTGCTCATTTTAAACTAATTTTATTATATTATTAAGGACTGAAAACCAACTATCAGGTACTATAATTTAGTTCTTACCACTTGTTTATTTTTTAAATATAAAAAACCAAAAATGTTTAACTTAGATATTCACTATATTTATAACTGTCCTAAATTTAAATATTTACTAAATAAAATAATAAATCTGATATAAAAATATGATATAAATAATCTGATATATAAATATCTTAATTTTTGCACTACTTATAGACTTATATCTCTCCACGTTAGTATTAATAAAAAAATAATTTTTTTCGTAATCAATGAATTAAAATAGATAAATCATTACAGTGTTATGTTTATATTACAATCAAAGTGTTATTTTGTCTAACTTCCTATTAACTGGGTCAATAAGTAATTAATAATGTAAAATAAATTACCAAAAAAAATTTTAACGATGCCCCTGGTTTAATAATTATCAGTTTGTTTCAATGTAACCATAATAATTTTTTTATTTACTTAACATGTTCACGACCACAGCCAAATTATGTATTCTTATAAAAAACCGCAATATATAATTATTAATTTGCATTTTATAATTTTGTAAAACGTGATCTAGTGGAGCTATTCAAAAGCCAATGATACCAAATAAATAAAATGAATAAAACCATACAATTTGTATGGTTGTTAAAAAAACCACGTATCAGGAAACCCTATTTATCCTGTGTCAACAATAGTTGATATGCGGTCGTGAACGTGTTAATACATTTTCAAGAAAAGTATATGATTAAAATAAAATAAATATAGATTTCTTGATTTTGATTCATTTGAAATAGGAATACAGTTTATCATATGAATGTTAAAACAATAATTCTAATAAAGCCATGTTTAAATAATAATAAAAATAAAAATAATAAGTATAAAATTAAGTTATCTAAACAAAAATCAAGCTTTGTGAAGACAAGACAAAGAACACATGTGTAATATCCTCATAACATAAGACAATTTAATATATCTATATATTCTAAGAGTTAAAAAATAAAATAAAATTTAGAAACGTTAATTAATTTTTTTTTTTTTTGACAGTTCTTGTAACAAAACTTGATTTTATGCTTATTATTATACAATTTTGTATTTAATATTTGAACAGTTTATTTATAAGTATTTATTAGAATCGTTGTCTTAACATGGGTTCTCTAAATACATAAGTATTTGAACAAATTAATTGACAAAAAGCAAAATATTTAATATTGAGTTTTAAATCATTAATTGTCTATTAAGAGGACGCCACACCCGCATGTGTTGTCTCCGTCTTACAAACGCTTAACATATCAAATTTTACACTCTGCAGATCACGTTTATCTCCGTTAGTTTAAAAGTTAGAGTGAATTGACCTCTTATTAAATATAAAGGTAAGATTATTATTCAGGGCATCTCATAGGCATTTTATTATATTTTAATTTTAAAACGAATATCGTGTATTTTAAGATGTACAAACAATTTACAATTTTAAAATAGTAATAATTCGCTCTAAAATTAAAATATAATAAAAAGGATATGAGATGCTCTCGATAATAATCTTACCTTTAAATTTAATAGGAGGTCAATTTACTCTAACTGTTAAACTAAGGGAGATAAACGTGATCTGCGGAGCCTACAATTTGCTATGTTACGCAATTGTAAGACGGAGACAACGAATGTGAGTGTAGCGTCCTCTTAACTCATAACATTCATATTAATTCATATCTTTCATATAATTAAATTTTACCTATTATAACTATTATTTATATTTCCTTCACGTGAAGTCCTTGGCTGAGATTGTATTGGACGACCCTTGTAATATTTACTGGCTTGCGCATTATATGAACTAGTTGTTGTGAAAGTGTTGTTCATTGGTTTTGCAGTAGCACCAACTGTTGGTTCTTTAACTTCATATACTTTTGTTGTGTTAGTCTCAAGTTGCACTGGAATTTCTATAAAAAATTAAAGATATTTAAAATAATGTATTATGTATGTTTTAATCATTCATTCTAATATAAATTACTTGTATTTTGTGGTCTGTGATCAGAATTAGATTTAGACTTTTCTTCAATTAAATCATTTGACAAGACAGTAGACTTTTCCTCTTTATTTTTTCCATCGTCCAACACAGTTGAAAGCGTAGAGAGATCAATATTTTTTGTAGATTCGCTTTTAGGAATCTCTAATGTAGCAGTTGTTTGCGGGTTTGTATCTGTAGTACAAAGCATTTGTTGTGAGTTTATAGGCGGTGAGTATGTTGGCTGAAGTGTAGAAATTGTTTGCTCACTATTGTCTGGTTGTATCTTGTTTTCAAGAGTAAGCTCTTTTGTACTAGCATTTTGACATTGATTTTCAGATTGAACTAACTTTGGACTTGCATTATTTGAGTTATCCTCAACTGCATGTTGAGGAGAAGTTCCTGACATTTTATCCGAACTAGACGAGTTAATAGATTTATAAGAGCTACTTTGACTGCAATCTTCTGAAGATTTTGATGATGAAGGCATCTGGTGATGTGTTTCAAGAATAGATTCGTTTTCATTTGTAGAGTTTGTTGTAGCATTTGTTAAAAGAGGCTTGGTACTCTTAACTACAGTGTCAACCTTAATCGGAGAAGTAGACTGTGAATAATAAAAAAGTATAATAAATTAATAGTACATTAATAATAATTTTAGCAACAAAATTAAAATTTAATACCACAGGCACTGGTGGCGGTATTGGGCTTTTAGATTGATCTTGATATCGATTAACAGTCGAATGTTTACTTTTTGTCCCATGTCCTTGGTAGTTACGACCCATAGCATTTTCAGGATAGAAAGATGGAACCTAATTTGAATATACAATGAATAATTAACTTATTTACTTTTGTTTATGCATTTTAAATAATATAATTTAGTTAGAAGTTAAAAACTAAATAATTAATAACTATACAAATTTAAGGAAACGTTGAGTATTATTTTTAATGTATTTATTACATTACATACATGTAACTCATTGCATGTTGTAAAACTAATACTTAAATATTATTTTATTTTGGAAAAAAGAATGGTAGATGAAACAAAAATTTATATTAGCTGAGACATCAGACATTAGTGTAAAATTTAATGCAATATAATTAAATAAAATGTACTTTTTGGGTATCACTGAAAAAAATGTGTTCAATAAGTTTTCAAAATGTCTTCATTAATCATTTCAATGTTAAGAAATAATTAAATGTGGCTAGTAAAAAATTCAGAGTGAACTGAAATATGGATTTTGATGGCATTTGCTTTTTTCTACTAGTTCAAAACAAAGCAGCATCATTCATCAGCAATAAATGTAATTCATACGACAGAATAAATGTACATCAATTTATTTTCCTTTTTTTGGGCTAGTTTTGGTTTTTATGCTTTTTTAGAACTTTGACCATATTTAGTGAACTAATTATTTTTTAAAAACATACTCATAGTATTTTTGTCAAACTTTTTCAGTTGAAAGTCAATGTTGAATGTAGTTTTTCAAAATATAAACATATTTGACTATCAACAAAGATTCTTGTTCGAAAACTTTAAAAAACTTTAATTGTTTATAATGCATTACAGACAATAATGTTAGGAAATTATTTAAGTAGGTACTATTATTTTATTTATTTTTTCTAAATTATCAGTTTATTAAATGACAGATCGGAAAAAAATTACATTAACACTAATTAGCATAAACATAAAATTAATAATAAAATTTTTTTTTTATGATTATTAAAGCTTTATTGCCTTATTTGAAATGCTTTTTTTTAGTCTTTTAGTGCTTCATAATCCATACTCTATTTATAATCCTAAAATAAATTAATTTACCTTATCCATATGAGCATATTATTAATATTTAATTATCACTAAATACCAAAATAAATGTATGACAACAAATTGTTGGTAAAAATGTTACATCATACCTAATATATTGAGAAAAGCATTAGGTACAAAAAAGTGGTTTTAAATTAATTCATTAAAATATCTACAATCTACATAATATGTTAAGACGAATAAAAATGGTTCACATAACATTTTAACCCTACATCCACTTTAATCCTTGAATATCAGTTAACTTATAATATTTGAGTTGTATAAATATAGAGAAATATTAACGTTTCTAATATCAATGTTAGTTTTAGTACCTAAATTAATTAATTTTTATAATATTAGGTACTTACCATGCCTGGAGTATAATTATAATTGGCATACATATTATGCGGTGACATTTGATACATGTTCCAGTTGTTCCACGATTGTGAAAATGGATAACTAGGATCTGAAGGATTACGATATCTTGGTGGCGTAGGATGCCTTTGCTTTGAGTTTATGTTTGGTGGTTGATTGCGTGGATTTATTTGGAATGTGCGTGGAGGCCATGAAACTGGACTTGGAGATTTTGAAAAATTAGCTTGATGGGGTCCTCTAATTCCTGAAACTGCTGTTGGTGGTGGATAGTCGTAACAAACTTGCATTGGTGGAACATTTACAGGAGGAAATGGATAATCTGAAATGTGAATGTTTAATTTTAATTTTGTTCAAATTAATTAAATTACTAAATCAAAATTGTATTTACAATGACGAGGATATAAATAGCCATTTCTATTCAGAGGATAATTTGGCCCTCCTTGAGTTTGTTGATACATATAGTTGGGTGGTGGAATCATGGTGTTGATATTCTAAAACATAAGAAAACAATCAGCTTATCTCGGTCCTAATTTTTAGAATTATTAACAACACTTAGTACCTATATTAGATATTAAATCAAAAACATTCATCATATTGTTTATTTAAATTAACTTAATAATAATAATAAACTTATAGTATAAGAATACACCACAGTTACTTTTAATATATGTATAGAAATATGCAGCAGTTAAATAATTAAATAATGTATATTTTAATTTCAATAATTTCTACACTATATCAATTATTTAAACATAAAAAGGTACTTATGAATCAATATTCAAGTAAAAGGAGATTCTAAAAACCTTTATAATACATATGTGAGTAAATATATATATATATATTTATGCTTAGAAGTGTTAAATCGTAAAACCACACTCTTTAATATTTTAAATTGAAGAAAATCTTAATTAAACTCTAAAAAAGATATTATGAGTCTTTGAAGTTTGAAGTAAGGTAATATTGTTAAATGTATACAACATTTTCATAGCTGGTGGAAATTTACTTATAATTCTATTATTATGGTCTCATCGTCAAACTCAAATACTTTCTATCAGTTTAACTTAGTCTTAAACTAATTCAAAGCTTGAAAAGAAATTAATTCATTTAAAATTAAGATTCATTTTTTTTTAACTGTAAGCACTCATATAAATGTGAGATATTTTACGGTTATACATACTTCCTAAGTAAAATATTAACTTAGATTAAGTCAAAGTTATGAATCAGTATATAATTTGCTTACAATATTTAAATATTTGTAGTCGCAACCATATAGGTAATTTTTTACCCAAGCTATTTTATTAAATAAATAAATAAATTTAGATTTAGTTCTCTACAACAAGTTACACACATTAAATATACAAGAACTATAGGTACCTAATAAGAATAAAATGTGAAAAATTGTAAATTAATTAAATTAATAAGCAACATAATAAGCCATTTAATTGTACCTATTGATATATAAATAAATCTACTAAGATTTTTAAAATTTAAAAACTAATATCGCCTATTAAATTACACTCAAGAGGTTTAAATGAAAAAATGCCAGATACCACTCTATGTTAAATAAATAAAACCAAACTGATGATCATAATATTATTAATAACCGAAATTAAAAGTGGGCAACTATAAATTTTAGTAATATCATATAGGCACATTTTAATATCATATCTATATAAGTAAATAAAATGATAAGTATGTTATTGGAAGAGGTCAAAATTAGTAGATTAAAATTTTTAAAATAAACAATACATTTGTCAACTATTTTGTTTTAATGCATTTTAATTTTGTAAAATATGTATTTAATATAAAGTATAAATATATACGAGTAAAAACAAATGTGGTATCTTGGTATTCAATAATTATTAAGCTAAATAAAATAATATGTAACTACCAGGACGTTTAATTATATTAACTATTATTCTGATGATGTAAATAGGTAATGTTATCTTAAAATTAAATATGAAAACATTTTTATTGAGATTGCCTAAACTCAAAATATTGAAACATAGGTAACCCCCTCTTTTTACATCTAAAATAGGTGGGTACACTTTTGTATTTGGTATTTTAAGTACGTTATTAAAAAAAATTATGTTAATAATTCAAGCTTATAGTTTTATATGAAAAAATATGTTTAGCTACCACCTAGTTGTGACTAAAATACATACACATATTATAGTATCGTGATCTTTGGCAATGACGATAACCATATTTAAGTTTTAATTGTTAATCGTGGGTGTTAGAAATAGTCCAATTTTGCTGCTAACATGACAAGGTCATATGATTGCTGCATAAACAACAAGCAGGTATATATTATAGAAGTAGAAATAATTATATTATAATTTAAAATACAGTATTATTTTTTACTATGGTTAAAAAACTAGATAGTAAGGTATATTTTTTCCGAACAATGATTTATTCAACCAAAAAATATTTATATTTAAATAGGTATGAAACAAATATAATATTCTGATACTGGGTTTCTATTTGGATTTTTTTCTTTTTAATAAATTAGTTTATGTTCATTAGATTTATTACCTATATCAAAATACTTTAAAAAAAAATTGTTAAGCCATGAGTTTTCTTAAAAAGTCATGTCAAGTCAGTCATCTTATCTCGATGACTTTTGAAAATAGGTCAAATTGTAACATGTTCCTACATTTAAAAACATGAAAATAATTAAAATACCTGTCTGATATTATTATAAATCATTTTAGGTAGGTAGGAATCGATACAATTTCAATTCTTAGTGGAATTGGTTTTTAATATTCCTAGTAATACCTTAAATGTTGAAACTTTAAATGTTGATTAAACAACTACCTACTTTCACATGCTGTATTAAAAATCCAAATAACAGGCTTAAGTTAAACATAATTTGATGTTAACAATTTAAAATTTTCAACCAAGGTGTTTAAGTATTATAATATTATCTCATAAAAACCCATCTGTTTTTATTAAATCATGATGACATTTATGTTAATTTGATGTTGGTAGAACATTAATTTTTGTAAGGTTATTAATAAAATTATTCTCCTAGATAATTGTATACAATATACATTATATAGTCAAAGGTATAAACTTTTATTATTATTATTTTTGGCCATTTTCATTGCGATTAAAATAATAAACTAATATTTAACATTTTAAGTAGGTACTTACTTAAAATCAAAACAAATACAATCCTTGTGATTTAGGTACCTAATGTAGTCAAGTATTAACAGTTAATTAAATATCAGTAATGTTTTAATTGATATTAAACTAATAAATATAATATTATGCTTTCAGATACAAAATTCAACCCAAAACAACTCAATAGGTACCTACCACAATAATTTTGTATTTAAATTAAGTATTATTAATTTTAAATTGATTGCTGTTTTTTATTTCATGTCTTGGGATTATCTGGGAATTAAAATTAGGTAATTTAATTAATATTCTAGTTCATGACATAAAATGTACACAAGTTAATATATATAAAATTAAAAATAATTAGACTGTAATAATTAACTTAAATAGTAAAATAAAATAAATAGCTTATAGTTACTAAACTAATGAAAAAAATTATATTATTAATTTTTAGAATGAATGACATAGTTCTTATATTTAATAATAATATATTAAGTAATAATAATAAAAGGAATAGACCGCACGATGCATGAGTATCGTTCTAATACATAATGTTTCATGTCAGGTTAATAAACATTTTCTCAATATGAAGCTATACTGAAAATATGTACATATATATTACAGCCATCAACTTGAATGTATAAAACTTTTATTACCTACCTACTTATCTTAATAATAATCTAATAATTATATAAAACAGTATAGGTACAAAACATACTATTTACTATTCAAAATTCTAATACCTAATAAAATAAGTGACATATTTAGGTTCCATTTGTCTAAGTGGGCGTATATTATTAAAAAGTTATTAAGGTGTATAAAATGTACATACCTCTAAAATATCAGAAGATTCTTTGTCTAGATCACCGCCTTTCTTTTTGGACAATTGTCTCTCTTTTTCTTTCTTAATACAGTTGAATATGCTATCTAGTTGAGTTTTTTGTTCAAATATAAATGCTGGATGATTTACAGCTAATGTGTACAATACCATAAGCTCCTCAAATGCGTTTTTATCGTTAAAGAACGCTTTCGGACACTTAAATATGCGTTCTAAACCTTTGTCGTCTGTTAGCGCTTTATAAATTAGTTCTGAACACTTTGTACTATTAGTGTTTAATACAGATAAATACTTGATAACCGCTGCCCTAACGGTTTTATCGCAAATACACTTGCAAGCTACTTCACTAACGCTGGCTGGATCGTTGGCTTCGAGTTCCAATTTTTTCAATATGTGAATATCTCTTTTTGACAAGTTATCTAAACAAGTGCCGAGGTACCTCAATTCAATTGGAAGACAGTGGCTTTGGAGTCTACACATCATCCAAAGCCGTTCGTAGCTTTTAAGTGTTTTGAAGTAAGCAACTACTTCGTCTATACAAACCATTTTCGGGCAACATCACAAATGCGATTGAATAACTAACACAACATGATAAGATTACTAAAATGTGATCGATCGTTCACCTAAGAATACGGGAAACTAGAAACTATAAATAATCGATAAACTCGAATAAACTCGGGTACGAAGAAAAAAATTTTTTTGTTCGCGAGTCGCAGAACCTCTCGTCGTCCGTCGAATGCACAATGGGAAGATGATTGACCAACGACAAAAGATTAACGGGAAAATTCCCTCTGTACAATTTTTCTCCCATTAAACATATGGATCATTGTTCAAATTTCGCACATGAAAATCCGAAAACAATTTCGTAGTGAAAAATTAATTGTTTAAACGCTATTTTAATGCAAAACTTATTTTATACGAAAGACAATCTTTTCTTTTAATTAATTTTAAGTTTACAAAATTCGTATTTTAATATAAGCATTCGGGATGCCTACACTGTGGTCTTGTTGATGGGCACGTGCTGATATCACTTATTTTATTGTATGATAAGATTAATTTGATACGATTTTTATTTCGACTTTATCATTTTTTTTTTTTTCCAATTGCGTTGAAATGTTTTACATTTAAATTTTTTAAATTTATACTCTTAACAAATATTTAATGATTACTTAGATAAATTTAATTACGAAATGATAGTAAGAAACTGTATTAAAGAATTGTCTTGCCGCTTTGTACAAACGATAAGTTGCGTACGAAAAAACTCCACAGCAAAATATTGTTTGGAATTAGTTAGGTAAATATTTGTGCACAATATAAGCGCAATACTTTATTTTCATTTAAAAAAATTCGTCGATATACGTCTTTATTAATTAAATGTGTGGGAAATTATTTGAATGATACTGGTACAAGTGTTATAAGGTACTAATTAGTAATAAAATACATTTGTATTGACACTAGAGTAATTAAATAGAAATAATTTAATTTATTTCCATTGCTTAACATAAATTAATCAATAACAGTACAAGACTAAATTTTAGTATCATACCAATATTACTATTGATATTAAACTTATGGATTACGGCATTGTATAAAAATCTGTTTGACAACTGGGCACTGTAGCTTCTGTGCCGGTGAGAACAATAATTTCTCTCTCATTTATGTTTGCCAAAAAGCGTATATTTAGTGAGCATTGAAATGCTGTATCCATGTGTTTAAAATCAATGCTATAACTTTTAACTTTCATAAAGGAACTACATTTAACACTTTGTAAAGTACAATTTTGAATTTAGATTTTTTTCTGTATATTTTATTACGAATAACAATTTACAGTTGATTCTGTTATGCATATTGAATATCCCATGTTTGCATCTGTACTTTTGGAAATAATTTTATACTTATTCTTATTTAATAAATTCCATATAAAAACTTACATATAAAAGTTGATTAATAAGGATTGAACTATATATGTAATATTAAATTTCAATGTAAAAACAAAATTATTGCTTTCATATACTAAAACATACCTACAGTTATCTGATATGGTCAGTATTTTAATAAATTAAGTGTATGATCACATTTCTCCTTATTTCCTTGTTATTATTGTTTATTGTTTTCTTGAATGCTGCTATAAAGAAGTATAATTTGTAATCTTTAAATCTATCTAAAAAATAGTTTTGAGATTTTTCACTGCTCTAAAAAAATCCTATACTTGGAAGGTAAAAAGTGTTTATGTAGATATATAATTTAATTGGATTTATCATAGCCATATACTGGTAGGGTTGGTTTTTTTTTATACTGGTGTACTGAATTAGTGTAAAATATCAAAGAACTCTATAATACCAATTATGTATTTTTAAAATAATATATAAGAACTAAAAAAAAATATAAATTGTATAATATATGGGTTTTAGTTTCATCTCAATTAAAAATGTTAAATATTATTTGTATTAAAGAGCACCTGAGGACAAGCAAGCATTTTAAATAGTTTGATTTAAAAAATTTTTAATCAAATTTTCTCGTTTCATAATTTTTTTATTTTTATTATTGATAGGTATTCAAATTATATTATATTTTTGTACATTTTACAAGAATACAGTGAAACTTCCATACAATAAACTTCCATTTAACAAAGTGTTCCGTTTAATGAAATATTTTTGAGAACTAGATTTATTTAATTTTATTTAACAAATTTCTCTATAATACAATTTTTTTGCTCATGAGACTTAGTAAAACCCAAGTTTCACTGTATGTATAATATATAGATATATAAATGCCAGTATACAGGCATAGTCAATATTACAATATATTATATTAATTTATGTTTCTGTTGTACGTTATTCTTTTATTTATCAGTAATAAATATCAATACCATCAACCCTATATATTGGAAATTTAATGTATAATTATTTATTAACAAATAGTGTAGTATAGTATAAAACATGTTATGTAGATTCTTAAGCAATCAGGATTATTAAAATACACATTGCGCTATATCATATAAAGTTCTATATTATGCTGATCAAACGTTGATAAAAATGTGAGCAACAAATATATTTCATAGACACAATAACAATCATGTTAGTTAAATCTTATCTATGAAATAGACTGTTATAGTAAGTGTTATGTTAACATCCTATAAGAATATTAGATATAATGAAATTCAAATACATAATTTAATAGTTTAAAAAACTTTTATATAAGATTAAATAAATATAAAAATTATAGTTGCTAAATTGAATTGATTGTGTTACAACAGTTACCATTATATTTAGTAATAATTATGAATTGTTATGACATTAATATTACTTAATCTAAAAAACATATTATTGACTTTTCTTGTACCATGAGAACTATAAGTTAAATTTAAAGCATAATAATTATATTTACAAAAATATAATTACTTCTAGATGTTTATTACCAATAAACAATTTGTATACCTACTTTAAGATTACATTCCCAGTCTTTAAATACGTTTATCTTTTAATACAAATTAATTGATAAAATATTATCTATAAGTTATTAAATGATTTATATTTTAAATAATTATTTACAAAATATTGATAACCTTTCTTAGAGGATGTTAGCTAAGCAATTACCATATAGTATGTTAAACACATACAAACTATAACTATTATCTCAAAACTATTCTTTGCATTTATTATTTTGTAACCCAACTGCTATAACTAGTTAGACATAACATATTAGAAATTAACTAAAATGTAAATCTAGTGTCCTACATAAAATGGTTTGTCAATAGTTGAATATTAATTAGCTAGGTATTATTAATTTCAATGTGTTATAACTTATAACTATTTTAAAAAAATTATAAAAACTTACTGAGGGGCAATAGATTATCAGTTAGTATGTTCTGTAATAGGTCTTGCTTACCTAATTTGAACACCGCTGCTAATTGATAAATGCAAAGAGTAGTTTTCCATAATGAGTGTGTAAAATATTGAAAAAAATCAATGTTAAGCTGACATTATATCCAAATTATTTAACTGCTTTTACAGAAAACATGATTTTGAAAATTATTTATGCACCTTATTATTACACAAAAGTATTAGAAGAACTGGTTTTGCTGTTAGAGCATTTAATATTGAGGTAGCAACTCTTCAAGATCAAATAAGTGATATGAAAATTGGAGAAATGCGGTTTAAATTTTGGGAGTCATCTTTGACTGAAATATACAAAAATAAAATCCCAAAACATCCTGTACTCATCGAACTTTATACCGTAAGTTTTTAATAAACTATTTATTTATATAACAATAAAAATAACTTAATTTAATTGTTACAGGCAACCAAAACGCAAAAATTAAGTATAATATATTTGAAACGGTTAATTTCATCTCGAGAAAATTATATGTTAAATTCATCTCTGAAAACCATTGAAGATTTAGAGACTTATGCTGAAAACTCCGTTTCACCAGTATATTATTTGTTTCTAGAAGCAATGGGTTTGTATTTTTTTTGTAATGTGTATGCTACATGTAGTAAATATTATATACATTTTTTTCGACTTGCCCTAATAAGCAGTGTTGAGCAATATTTAAAAAGTAACACATTATTGTAACAACATTTATGAACAAAATAATATATTATAAAAAAAAACAAAAAATCTAAATCTATTTAAATATAAATAAATAACAATATTCTTATTTTTATTTATAATAAAATAATGCCATCAAATGCTGATTTTTAAAACATTATAAATGATCATACTAAAATAATGTGACATTCTAAAGTAAAGATAAAAATTATATTGTAATATCAATGTTACTTAATAGGTAATTAATATAACTACCAAGAATATATATATTATTATTTTATCATCGTTTATCGTTAACCAACTGGAACCTTTACTTAAATTTTATAATCAACTTCTTAAGTGGTTATGTCATATTCTCATAATTTACTACAGGGTTAATGTGTTTGAATAATTGAATACTGTGTTTCTAAGAACTTAGTTTATTGTCACTGGTAGGAGATACCAGAATAACTTAATAGGACATACCCACTATTTTTAATATAGTTCAATATAGGCAATTTTAATGACATTTTGTGAACAATTTAAATGGTTGATCTTAAATAATATATTTAAATATCGATTCAAAGTAAATTAAAAGTGGTCCCATGAATTATTTGCATTTTCGAGTTATCAAAAAAATTAAAACGCTATGACATACAACAATTTCTTATATATTATCATTGATTTTATATACTACAGATCGCTCACTGTGGTACAAAATATGCAGTTTTTATAATCCATTGATATTAAGTATGGTAAACATTTGGTAAGGTTACTGTGAATGTTGTCTCCACAAGTTTATCCCACTCAAAACTTTTTTATAGATAAATAAATTATGGAGGTGTTGCATCCTATTTATGTATTATAAATTGTAATCAAACTAATATTATGAAAAATGTTACAACCAATAAGTATTAAATAAAATAACAAAAATATGTAATTAAATTTAAAAATGTTAACATTAAGATTATATTATTTGTAATTTTTAAAGTATTATACTTATATTTTAGTATGAAAAACTTAATTAGTATACTAAAATTAATACATTACAATTATTATGTTAAAGAAATATACTTTGATATTATTACAGGGATCAAAGATATGAAAGTTGATCATGCTGTAAGTCATCTGGGTAAATGTCAAGGAATTATAAACATTATCAGAGGTATTCCTTATAATACAAAATCTGGGCGTATATCAATACCTCAAGACATTTTGTTAAAATATAAAGTTTCCTATGAAAATATTATAAGAAATTCAAGTGAACAGAATGTACGTGATGCAATTTATGAATTAGCTTCAAGAGCTAATAGTCATCTAATGAAGGTAACTTTAAAATACATTTTAAGTATCAATTAACATGCTATAATTTTTATTAAAAATTAATTTCAGGCCAAAAGTTTGGAGAAGGAAGGAAATAAACGTATTAAATCAATATGCTTACCATTTGTTCCACTTCATTTATATTTGGAAAATCTTCGAATAGCAGATTTCAATGTATTTGATAAACAACTACAAGAACGAAATAACTTATTACCTATGAAACTATTATGGCGTAAAATAGTTGGCTAAAATGACTGTGGTCAAATAGTTTTGTTGAAATATTGTTATAAGTACACTTTTGTATACTGCAATTAGAGTACTTCATACCACTTATGTCGTCTCCGTCTTAAAAATGTACAACAGCAAATTTGTGTTCAGAAGAACCAATTTTGTTTTGTTAACTTGAATACTAGAGTGAATTTTCCTATTATTAAACCTAAAGATTCAATATTTTAAATTTTGGTAATGTTACATACATTTCGAGTTGCAAAATTTTACAAACTAAAATTTTCTTAAAAATTTAAATATTGTAATAATGCTACGTACAAACACTTAAAGGTTAACCTTAAAAAGGTCAATTCACTTTAATATTAAAATAATACACAAAATTGGTTTTGCAGAACACAAATGTTGTATGTTGTGCATTTGTAAGACGGAGACAACACGTGCGGGTGTGACTTCCTTTTAACGATTAAATGTTTATTAATAATGATTTTAGTTATTTATTTTTTAAATCTAATTAAATTAAACAATTAAAAAATTAGTTTATAATAATTATTATGTATTGTTACCATGAAATGAAATAAAATTGTTGTACTTAACTATTTTTTTTGTATAATATGATGGATAACATATTTTATTGATTTCTCACAAAGTAAATAGAGGAATATTGAAAAAAAAATACATTGACACAGGTCTATTACCTATAAACTATTGTTAAACTATTTTCCACTCTTATTGTTTGTAAATAATTAATGTTTTTAATTTATAGAAATATATATTTATTTATTTATTTGCATAATTCTTAGGAATCTGCATATTAAAAATATGATCGGACACAATTTGTAATTGTATAATCATTTTACAATACATATTTTATCAAATTTAAGTGATTCTGCATATTTAAAGATTAAATACATATTAACACATATTATTTTGTTAATAAATCAAAAAAAAAATATTTAAATTGGCCTTAAAGAAATCTAATTTAAAAACAAAGAGCCTGCAAGCACCCCTATAGCTATATATATTTTTAATCATACTATAGATTTAATAATTATTTTTTAGTATCATCTGTACCTATATTTAAAGTTAAATAAAAAATAAAATATATCCATAATAATTACCATTAACACAAAATATACATAATGCATTTGGCATTTTGCATGTATTTTTGCATATTTTTCACTTTTTGAATAATTTTGATTGTTTTAAGTTAATTCTTATAATATAAATTCATATATTCTAAAAATATATATATTTTTTAAAATTTTAAATAATATATATTTATAAAAAAACAATTGCATATTATGTATGCACATATTTTATTGTTTCTTAGAGCACAAAATTCCGATTTTGAATTCATCAAAACGACCTTAGCAACTGACAAAAATTAAAGTACTTCTAGTGATTTGATTTAAAAAATGTAAAGATGTTTTAATCGGTCAACAAGTCTAATTTGGATTGGTCGGAGCATATTTTAGATATTTTTGAATATATTCAATACTAGAAATGTATAAATTTGTAAAATGTAAAATATTTATTCTCGTCAAGAATTTGCTAAAATTGAAAAAATGCTCCCACCGATGCAAAGTAAACTTGTTTACCAACACAAACATCTTTACATTTTTAAATCGAACCACTAGAAGTACCATAATTTTTGTCAGTGCGACGGCTATTTCACGTTCATAAATTGGTTTTGAATATTTTGATCTAGACATTGTAGGACTTGTGCAGGTGCGTGGGTGCGACCATACTCCAGATTAGGAATAAAAATGTATTGTAAATTGATGTGGGTTGCAGGTGATGGTAGGGGAGTTTACACATACTAATGATCATTTACTACACACACAAAGACGATCAGTAATCGCAGGAACAAAATAATTGCCTAAATACAACTCCTTAAAAACGACACATTTGCAGGGGCAATAGAAACATAACTGTATCAGTAATACTAATGCCAGGCTTGGCGAGTGGGCGAGTGGCTGTTACAAATCTGTAAAATATAACACATACATTGTAGTTAGAAATTCAGCATATAATATCGTGATTGATTTTTATAAGAGTAGAAAAAATATCAACCTATTACATTTATTCTTAATACAATTTTTAAATTATGGCACTACAATTTTTTAGTCAAGTATTTATAATATATTTGTTATCCTTTATTATTTATCTATTCAACGGCCGAGGCCTTTTTTTACATAATGTGTATCGATAGTAAATTATAAAAGTAAAATTAAATACATGCATAATTAAGTAAATATGTAGGTACAACAATTAAAGAAAGAAAAAAACATTTTTAACTGAAAAATCAGGGTCCACATGAGCGTTCCTTATCTAAATAGTTTGTGGTGGCATGAGGGACATAAAATTAGCTTTAGATATAGTGAAACACTGAGGTTTAGACCTTTTATACTTGAAAAAAAAAAATATTATTTTATATTTTTTCTGACAGGTACATAATAAAAACAGTGATTTCTTATAACTAATTGAACATAATTTAAATTACATTCTTCTAGATTTTCAATTTTATTTTAATACATATATTATTTAAAAATACAATTTTAACACGGATCTTTTGACAATTAGCGGCTTAGGCCCAATTATGTTGTGTAGGTACACTGTTAGGTATACAGGCATAATTGGTACCTATGCGTAATGTTATTGCGTAAACGTTAATCGTCAGTCGACTAATGCTGCAGATTGCACTACTGCAGTCAGTGGCGTAACTGGATAAAAATCTAGGGGAGGGAAAAAAATTAAAATCCCGTTCGGCCGTTCCTGTAATCATAATCGCGATTTCAAGATACCTAATAAATAATTTCAGATAAAAATAGTCACGAATAATGCGGTTATCGCGATAACAGTAACACTGACAATACGTCAACATAATATTATTCAACGAGAGAAACCTAAAATAAATATAAAGTAATTTGAGGAAAAAATATTTTAATATTATAATATTATGTAAACAGTCTTGTCAAGAATACTTTTTAAATGTGGATTATTAAGAGGGGGCAAAATGATACTTTTGCCCCCACAAACATTTCTGGGGGACAAGTGCCCCCCCCCAGCAATTACGCCACTGACTGCAGTATAGTGGATAGTTGTAGCAGTAGATAGGTTACCCGCCTACAAATGGCTTACAACTTATAAAAGTACCATGGCAACCGGAAAATATGAAAACTATAATATTATGGACCTAAACACAAAAGTCGATGACACTCACACTGGCAGTGACACTCAAACCGCGGTGACGGGTACCGACGATCAACCGGCACCGCATGAGCACAACTACTATTCGCTGAGCGACGTGGCGAAATGGACGAAAAAGCTTTTGGACGCTAAAACACTCAAACAGAGCACCGTAACGGTGTTCGGCATGCCGCGGCTTGTTCGGCCGCCGTTTCACGAATACTATTCTGTAAGCAGGTATTACGGGCCGGCAAAATGCGTTCCGCTCATTTATCGCGCAGAGGAAATGTTTCCGAGCTCCGAAGGCATTCCGCAGATTTAAAACTAAAATACGACTAGGTAGCTATACGATTAACACATCCCATCGTGTTTAAATAAAATAATTACCTACTACATAATATCACATGTTATAAAAGTGAAGAAATTACGCTGTATAATATAATAATATAATAATATCTATGCTTTATTAGTCATCGATTAGTTTTTCTTTAGGTATAGGTACCGATAAAATATATTATTATGTTTTATTGCAATATGCCAATATATAAGTAAAAAGTAGCACAATTAATAATGTAATAGGTACCTGCGTCTTATAACTTATGCATTATCTTAAGCTTACTGTACCTAAAACATAGCTTTCTTAACAAAAATTCTGAACAGTGCACCAATGAATTTAATTTTGCAATTTTTTGTATTTTTCATTTATTAGGACTGTTTTTGGCCAATTGTTAATGGTTTCCGTCAATTAAACTTTATACAAACATTTTATGAATTCTTTTTTAATTATTGTTATATAAAATATATTGTACACATTCTGTACCTACACACGCGTGCAGTACCTACTTAATAAATAATATTTTCAATTTAAAATAATTTTTATATTAATTGTCAAATAATGATTCCTAATAGTGTTGCACTTAGTACTTACTGTGAATTTTATACTGAATTTTATGAGATTATAATGTATTTATACGGTTTTTAATGCATTAAATACCCAGCCATAGTTTACAACTTATAACTACTATTAATTATAGCTATTTAAGCGTTGTTATTAAAAATATAAAACAAATAATTCGTTTTAATTCATCTGATTGAATTAAAACGCATTTAAATACAGCGTAATGGATATTTAGGAATAAATTGATAAAAAATACTTTTTTGAGCAGATAGGGGTTAAGAGTAAAAGATTCCCAATAGTTTTCAGAAGCGTTTTGAAAAACAAAAAAAATTAAGGGGATTCCATACCGACCGTTTTTAAGGAGTTGGGTATAGGCAATTTTTAGACAATCTGAATAGTACGTGCGTGCGTGTCGTGCATGTGTGTGTGTGTGTGTGTAGTAAATGATCATTAGTGTGAATGACTGACGGCGAGCTAGATAAGCGTTGCGCACTCGCATGAACAATGAATATGTCACATTATGCCTAACAACAAATTTATTTCATGGCGAAATGTTGTAAATCATAGACCTAAACGAATTCCGACATACCGACTTGAACAGATTTTGTTTTCTTGTTCAATCAACTTTGGATCCTCCGAGCCACATTTTTAATTTATTATTCTTAAAAAGAAAAAACCTCTTTTGAAATTTAGAAAAAAAAACTTGTATTCTTAAAAATTGTAATAGACATAGTTTTAAAATTGTATTTATTATTCTGATTCGAGGGATTCAAAATAGACTTCATAATAAATTCAAATATGTTTTCAAAATTATTATAGGAGTAAAACGCAAGTTAGTACGTTGGAACACGTATAGGTCAATTTTACTCTAAAAAGCGGTAATGTAGAATCCCCTTAAGGAAAACGAGGATTTGATAAACCTTGAAGTTTTTGACAAGTTCGATTTTGGATTTTGGTGGTACTCTAAAAAAAATAACTGTACTGAACTGTACACAATTTTCTCCAAATGTCTACATTGGCATTTTTAATACACCATAAAATGTACTCTTTTTGAGCAACATATTTATTATACTTATAGGCGTAAAAACATTTTGATTTTGATTAGTTTTTTTTTAAATTATTGACGATAGCAATTTTTTACCTGAAAATTTAAGTTTTCAATTTTTAACAAGTTTTTTTAACTTAAAAATTCTATACAAGGTTCCCCATAAATTGTTGTCAAATCAAAACTTAAAAAAAAAGTAGAGCGTAAGCTCACAATAATTTTTTATGTTCACCTGAAGTTATATAATTTTGACAAAATTTTTAAAGTATTTTGAATCAGAAATGTATAAAAATAATTGTATTTATAATCTATAGGTTTCTAAGATTTGAAAAATCAATACAAGCTTTCCCACATCCACATGTTTTCTTAACCAAAAATAAAATAAATTTTTTATGAGCGTTTAAATTTCAGATTTTTTCGATGTTGAATATTATGATATTCACTCGTAAATAAACGAGTTCTCATCGAACAGTTTTCATAATATGAACATATTAAGTTGTTGTAATTAAAAAACGTATGACTGAGATTCAAGATACTTGAAATTTTCACCTTAAGTTTGTTATTATAATAGGTATACATAAGTTAAAATGTTCAAAATATTTTGATTAATTTTGAGCTATTTATAGGCATTTGAATTTTGAAATTTTTTTAGTTTTTTTGCTATTATAAATATCAATAAAATTTGTTTTATTATTTATTGTTGTTATAATTTTATTATCATATTAATGTTTGTTAAATTTCAAAAACATGGTTAGTTCAAAGTTAATATCAATCATACTATAGCAACGTGTAAAAAGATAAGATTTTGTAAAATTCCAAACATTTTAAGCTCAAAGTCAGAAAAACAGTATTTAAAGGTAAGTTATAATACAGTATAATTTAGGTAAGGTTCTATAATAGTACCTATTTAAAATTAAGTCAATACTCAAATATGTACCTATTGGCTATACTTGTTAATAGATAGTATTTACAATACTTTTATCTGCGTACTCAAATACTTTACAACATTGGCGATTTATAGGTATGTATACTAGGTACTACTTCAGCATTAGGACTTAAATGTTAGGTGAACCCAAGATAATTATTAACATGTCACAAACAGCACATAAATGAATGATAGTTTATTTTTATATTCAAGTAACACAATATATTTGATAGGTAGGTAGGTAGTTCCGGAATTTGATTAAAATTCATCATTGAGAGAAAGTATAGGAAAGTATTATATAGGTATAGTATTTATGAAGGGATATTCGATTAGAACACACACGAGCACACTTTCAAACACACACGATTTGGAAATCGTACCTAAAGAATAATGTTAAATAAAATAGGGGAACTACCTTATACAAGATTGTATTAAAATAAAATAAAAACATAAATAAATTTGAAAAAAGGTTCTTTCTTTCTTTAATGACTTATTCAGAAGTCAACTTCTGTATGTCTTCGTCCAATAAATCAACGTTGGTCTGCAATGCAATAGCATTCTCATCCATTTCCTTGCATTCCGATGACTTATTGACGTTTTTTTGATGCATCTCCTGGCAACTAATAATGTATAGAATTAAAATACATAACATTTTTCAAATTAGATAAAAAAATTTAAAAAAAAAATGTAATAAAATATCAAGGATTATACCTATAAAATAAATCACGGTACTAGGTATATTACCTAGGTATACTATAAATTATAATATAGGTAAAAAATTATACCTATAATTGTAAAGAAGTTCAATGAATCTAGTTTTACTTGTTTAATTATTCAAAATTACAAGACTGTACTTACGGAAACGGGAAAACGTAATAATTAGACATTATACTGTATAGGTACTTTAGGGGCTTAATACATAAGTTACATATGTACATAAAATAAAGAATTTCTTAGTAAAAGTGAAATTAATATAAAAATAATTGACGAAGAGGTGACTCGTTCATTAAAAATATTTATTAATATAATTATCTAGGTATATTAAATTTATTGTATGAAAGAAAAATTAAAAAAATACAATTTTATTATAGCTATAGGTACCTGTTTTATTTTTAATTTGTAATTGGTGGATATTAAAATTTAAAAGTACCTACCTACAAGTTTTGAATAGAAAGTTTATTTTTTGTTTTTTGTTTCTATTTATCCTGAATGCACTATTGGATATATTAATATAATTTAATGGTCGTATAATTTATACTCTAAACGTTAAGAGTATAGATCAGGATCGGCCTCTGTTTTAATGTGCACTACAAGTGTGTAGGTGGTAGTTATAAGTATAGGTACAAGTGTGTTGCATGTGTTATGTAACAGTGTCGACGAATTTCAATTGTTTTATATCTTGAACATATTTTTAGATTCTTATAAAGTTATAAAATATTTGTATTCTGTACAGTGAATTTGAGTACATAGATTTTTGTTTTTTTGTAGAAATAATTGTACAATATCTACGAAAGATCGTGTGATTAGGGTGTATAAAACACCTGTGTATCTAAAGTGAATTAGTGAAATGTCTTGGTACTTCAATGTTATAAGTATTTTTTTTAAACGTATATTAGGTTAGCTTAGGTATAGGTAGCCACATAATAAGGGAAATTATTAATATTTATTTTTGAATATTTTACGGAAATATAGATACGGCCACACGACGGTATGACGCAACGGTAGGTATAGAAAATTATAGTTTAAATATTTTACAAAATGTGTTAAATAGATTTGGTCAAATGACTTTTGAGATATTTTTTCGTTTGGAGATGACCACTGACCACAGAGTAAAAATATGTAATTTATATCAATGTGTAAAAATATGAAATATATTATAATATGTAATTTTAAGTAGGTTTAATAGCGTGCGAATGGCTGAAATATTATCATTTTCTTAGAATATTAAATGATAAGACTTACTGATTAAATAAAACCTATTTTAGATAATTTAGGCAAATTATAGATTAATTTATTGTATTATGAATACGTCTGATGAGCCACAGCAGACAGCTGTGTAAACTGAATATAACAATTTTATTTTAAAATCTGTATTTATATATTAAAAACGACTAAATAATTTTAATTTTGGAATAAATAATATTGTTCCTTACGCTTTGCCTAACCCGGTGTATACATTCAACACATAATCCAGTTCATTTTGTTTATCCGCAATCTCTGCTTTCAAATTGTTGATCTTAGAACGATAGTATTTGGATGATTCTTTGGATCCATGTGAACGTTTCAGTATGATAGTTTGCTTCTATAATACGAAGTAGGTATACAATTTAGTCAATTCAAATACTATGTAAAAATATGTAGAATAATAAATTATATAGGTCTTTACCTCGACGATTTCAGTTTGCTCTTGTATCTTTTCCATCATTCGCTTGGTGATCTCAGCATGATTTCTAAAAAAAAAATTACTCATGAGAAAATTTAATTTATATACTTCTATAAACACATAATTCATATTATTTTATCTTAAGACAATAGACGTATAGTTTTAATTACATAATATTTCTATTAACGATAGTTACTGAGCAGATATAGACATATAGTAGGTATATTATAATAAATATTAATATATTTAGACATATCAAATAATCTCTTATTACTAATCTTTAACTTACTGAGCTGCTTCTCTATCCTGAATGTCTACCATGAGCGAGTTACTGCGTTTCTGATTGATTTTCTTCATCAAAATTTCGCTTTTAGCCTTACGCTCATTAAGTTTTTGTATCAAGCAATCCAAGCTTTCTTGAGCCGCTTTTAACATCGCTTAATAATAAACAATTATACACTATTATTAAATAATTCTTAATCATATAAATGAATATAAATATAAAATTAAACTAATCCTTTAATAATTTAATACACTATTAAGTATGGTTGGCAACCTTTTTGGACTCTCAGGTCACATTCAAAAATTAAAAAGGTTACGTGTATGCAGTACAAAAATAAAAATTTGATACCCTTATTTTAAACATTTTTAATCAGTAGGTAATAAATTTAAAAATACAGTTTATAATAAAATTATGTTGCAAGTTTATTGGTTGAGATAGAAGCTAAGTGCAGAGATGATCGGTTTTTATTAGGTATTTTTAATATGAGAACATACACCAGTGTCCAGTATACACTGCACGCCGTATGTATAGGTCTCGTCCTAATACTCAATTATTTTACAGCTATATTTCGATGGAAAAAACGATGAAAAAAAATTTAGCAAAAAAAAAGAAACTTGATTCTTTTTAGATTAAGTTTCTAGCAATATCTTGTACCTAAGTTTTTACTGTAAAGTGTAAATACCTAGTAAATCTAAAATTTCCATTTGAACCTCAACAGGTTATCGTTACATCAATATTCAAAAGATTGACGAGTTGTAAATATTTTAAATATCGTTTGAAAACTTGAATTGATTATCATATTCATATTGAAATGTCTAAATGTCTAATGTTTAAATAGCTTCAACAAATTTAACTGTTGAAAATGAAATTGTTTACGATTCAGAGATTTCGTCATTTCGGAGCAACTTATCGTGTGAAATGTGCAAATAGACGCGCGTGGGCCGTATGAATTATCGTCTAATACATTACTTACTATATTTTAGTCTTAAACAGACAATAATAACGATATATTTATAAACAAAATTAAAAGTATTTTACAGGTACGTCTTATTTTATATTGAAATATATTAGTATTATTAGTTATTAGTTAATAATTTTGATCGTTTAATAAGGAATGCCTATAACCTTTATGTACTTATACAGTATAAAGTACACTATTAGGTAGGCTGTAGTTCTTGACATTATTTTAATAAAAAACCGGAATATATTCCTATCAAAGTATTTAAAAATGTTACCCTCGTTCTCCTTTTTCTTTTGTAATGTTGCCTCCATCAACTTCCTAACAGCATACTTTTCCTTATTCTCCAATTCAGCCAATTCACGTTTTGCTCTTTCTCCTTTGATATGCATAGCTCGCATTTCCTGAAAAATTTAAATATTTTAAATTAACCGATACTTACATTATTCACATATTAAGTACAATTGGTTATATATAGTAATATTCAATATAAGCAATTTGTTAGAACTTACACAGTGTATACATATAGGTATAGGTTTGTATATACAGACGTAGGTAAATTGGTACTGATCATTTAAACTGTATAATTTTTAGTATCAACATAACCAATCCTCAACATTTTAAAAATAATAGATAGTTAATTATTTTTTTAAATATCGTATGTCTTGTAACTTGTAAGCATTATGTTTAAGGTCATTAAAATCTACTATATTTATCACATATTTTTTTTTACATTCTGAGCGGAGATTTGGAGCGAATGATGTAGGTGTATTTTTTTGTTGTGTCTGTATAAATACGATAAGTGGGTAGTCGAAATAATGCTTCGATTTTAAGCTTCAGTTTTTATTTCAGCGGGAAAATGAATCTAGTTGGTGCATTGGGAGGTCAAAATTTAAAATTACCAAGTAGTTTTCAAAAGTACCGGGTAAAACAAAAACAAATTTAAGGAAAAACCGGAAGTATCAGGCAAAATCTATTTTGGTTTTCAGTGAACCTCTAAAAAAAGTTATCGTAGATGGGTATATGAAATTTTCACTGGATGTAATCACCAATGTTTATATTTCTATTTTCTATACACCATAAAATTTTCAAAATATTTTGACTCAAGTTAAGTTAGTTATAGGTATATATGCAATTTTCGGTAATTACTAATTAATAGTATTTTAATATCGATAAAAAAATTTTATTCGGTCGAAAAACTTGAAAAAACGTTGAAAGTAAATCTACAATAGTTTTATATGTGCGTCTAAAGTTAGATTTTTAAAAAAATTCGTATAACTTAAAATTTATAAAATGTTCAATTTTTATAGGTAAGAATTGAAAATTTAAAACAAGATTCTACGTAAATAGGTCATATTGTAACCAAAAAATCTAAAAAATGTAGAAACGGTTATTTTAAATTCAAATTTAGATATTAGCTTATCGCTTATTATGTACATTGGTGAACAAATGATGAACTTGTACATTTTTAATACTAATGACTGTATAATTAGGTACATATTATATCATATTATTATTGTTATTATATTTGAACTAACATTTTTAAGCTCCCTAAATTAAAACGTTCTATTGCGTGATAAAATATAATAATTAATTATACACACAACCATAAATAATGAACTATTGAATTTGATTAAATTTGTTATCTTTTGTCAATGATTTTTTTTTTACATCTTTGTTGTAATTTAATAAAACGTTTCTACTATAATATAGGAAGTAACGATAAACGGCCTTGATTTGATTCATATTTTAAGTGGTCGATTAGAATTATTTATTTCAACCACTTTACTATTTTATAATGTATGTATACAATATAGGTACCTACACTGCGTACATCGCTCTTGTATTTTGCAATTGCATATAAATAGCATATTTATATACCTAATTATATAAATTTCAAACTTCAATATACATAATACATAATAACGTATAAAGTTATACAATATAGTAATGTATAATATATTATCTTGCACTAGATCCGTCGACCAGATTATTTAACAATAATTAAGTACTTATACATTTACCATTCAAGTTGATGAACCCAATTATGAAAAATATTTACTACATAATAATATACTAATAGGTATTATCTGCGATTATTGCCGGCTGATCGTCAACTTACTGTCAAAATGTGTCGTATTTCGCGCGCAAAACACGAGATGCACACGCATTACGTAATTCTATTACCGTACAGGTAACAGGTAGGTAGGCTAACCTACTCACATAATTATTATGAAAATACATATATAATATTATTATACAGTACGCGCAACAGTTATTATAATTTTATAGTTTAATAATACATCGTCGTTTTCGCGTATACTGCAGGTATGATGTACGTACCTTGGGAAGGTCTTTCAAAATTTGATTCATGTCCATGGCGGGATCGGTTTTGTCTGTTTCACCGTTATTCCGCAAAATCGAATACAATATTATATTATATTATAATATTATAGTTAATTTTAGGTAATTAATATTTATGATATTTTATTGTCGGTGGTGCCCAAAGCAGAGCGCAGGGATGCGGGACTGACAGTCTGTAAGAGGACTGATTACAGAGTGAGCGGTCGAGCTTCGGGTCCGTCGGTGTTCTGGGCAACACTACGACGCTGCTGCTCTGTCCCTGTCGCCGCTGCCGCCGGCTCTCCCGCCTCTTTATTCCTCTCATTTCCCGCGTAACCGCCCGCCGAGGCGGTGTACCGCGGGGACGGGCGCGTGGGCCCCGCTGGGCGGGCGGGCGGGACGCGCGCGATCTCGCCGGAGAACGCGCGACGACGACGCGACGAGTTCGCGAAATAATATAATCAATACGCCGTATTTGCTCGCCGTACCTACTCGAGACGGCGGCGGTGGAGGGCGGGCGAACTTATCTGGAAATAATATTATATTTGTTGATTCTCGGTATACGTATTCGCGCGCACAACACCCTCCGCCGGTACGGTTGCGCGTATACTGAGCTGTGCGGACCGCGCTCGCTCATAATAATAATTCACATAACGTTATTATACATTTTACGTAGGTAGGTAATAAGACGTAATAACCAAGAGCTTTGTATATCATGTTAGGTACCACACATAAATTATTAGTTGGTGGTTTGAAGGTGGGGGGGGGGGGTAGCTAGAAGTTCAAACACACCGCAACCACCACGATGATTATCATTGGCAGTTTCTACGTATTTTTATTTATTTTTGGTATCTTAGAAATGATATTATAGTGAGTGGTCGTAACTCGAAATACGCGTTCTCATTAATTATTCATGGAAAATGGGAAATTTCTATGGATAAAATAATTTTAATGTTGCCTGGAAAACATTTTGTAGGCTGGGGGCTGGGCTAAGCCCGCTTGGCCGATTTCTGAAAATCAAAAATGGATTATATCGTATAACTATGTATTGGCGATTGAAAGCTAATCAATTATTAGGCCGGCGGGGGGTGGATCTGTAACGGGGAACTGGTAAAATAACACATAAATGATACACAGCTTCCCCGTTACTTCTTATCACTTTCAATCGCATTATAATAATATTGTACATTCGCCAACGGGTAAGCAAAATATAATATATAAAGGCATGGACGTCATAATTAAAACTGAACAGCGCAGCGCTTGTGTTTTTAAAAACAATTACCTAATGATACTTGTAGTGTTGACTTGTAGCACTTGTACAATACATATACTATATGTCTATACATACATATACACAATTCCGAGTCCTTCCACTACACACGGCGGTATATATACAAAAACAAAACGAAAACTCAACTTTCCCATTACCAGCTACTACAATGTGCAGATGGCCAGTGAAACGGTTTAAATAGTTTTTAAAAACATAAACACCGTTTGGTTTTTATTTGTTTTTGTTTTTGTTTAGTTACTAGTTAACAGTGTGTGGGAGTGTTGACCCGGCGGGGCACTTGGTGTACACATGTGATATTGACATATTAATTTATTATTAATATTTATTCTACGCTATTACATTGCAATACATTCGAAGACAAGGCACAAATAATATTAAATTATTCAGGAAAGTTAATCGAAGTTTCATTGTTTTTACAATGCTTTTACAACCATAATATATTTTTATTACATTTTTTTTTTAAATTTTAAGTTTCGACAACTGAGGTCATTAGCCTGTTACTGTAATGGTACGGTTTGTAAGGATTTTACATTAAAACCCGGATGATCATCCGTCTAAGAACTAGTGACACAGGCCGGTGCTGGCACTCAGAACACGTTTGTGACACGTTGGTGCCACACCAGGCCACTTTTAGTCCATCGGCTTATTAAAATGTAGACATCAGTTTTAAAGAATAGAATATTTTTTTCCAGAGGTGCATTTATGAATTTTGCATAAATAATTATCTGGCACCCTTTTATTAAAAAAACCCTTCCATATACAGGGGTGCAAAGCAACTAAAAGTTCATTTAAGCTTTTTCAAATATAGACGATTTACATTGGGTTGCTCAAAGGGCTTTTTTAAAAAATTAGCTAACCCAAATTTCATTTTAATAATAATAAAAAATTATGATTGTTTTTTGAAATGTTTGGGTTGGTAGGTTGGTAGATGTATACATCATATAATTGTTAACTAAACAATTTTTACTCTATGTAGAGAATATAGTCTATATATTTTACGAACAAGGATTTTTTTCTTTGGCTGTGTTTACAAAGTACAAGCACAATTTTAGTCTATATCATATTATTATTCTCTATAGATCAGTGGATCTCGATAGGTGGTCTGGGGATTGATGTTAGGGACTAGGGAGTTGTGCTTGACCGGACCTCTAAGCTGCGGGCACTCGTTCATGACACACACGACTAAAGAATTTTTTTCTCATTTCCACTTTTGTACAAATTGAAACGTATACATTCGCAGAAAGCGGAGAACTTCCATAAACACAAAATAACTACTTTATGTGCCATGTATTCCGGATACAAATTATATGTTGTAACAACCTTTTTTTTTCAATCCGTAGATTGGTTCATTCATGAAATGTTTCTCCGCTCCTCTTTATTATAACTACTAAACATGTATATTGTATATATTATGTATATAAGAAAAAGGGGCCCTCGGGCCAATTTAAGTTTTATCTAGCGGTGTTTGGGCATAATACTAATATTGAGAACCACTACTAATTGTTGTATACGTAGTATATCATATTATTACATATTATGTAATATGTATATGGGGTGGTTAGTTGAAAATTGAAGCATTTTCCCGTTTTCGACTACTTTTCATGTACATTGTACACAAACACAAAAAAAACACACATCATTGTAAAATCAATATGATGAATATCGCTCCATTCAGAATCTAAAATAATCATATTATGAATTATGAATATTAATCTGAAATCAAAGTTGTTCCCTAAATTATGTGTAGTTACATTTTCAATTAGACGACCAACATTTTAAATAAGTGCATACTATCATAGGCGCACTTACATCCAAAATTATAATTATTAAGTGCATACCTACAGACCTACAGTATATAAATTGCATCCACAGAATAGTCGTCTTTTTTTATTTTCTATTTCTTTATCAAAAATATGTTTTATGAGTCATTTAATAATAATTAGAAAATAATAAAACGATTGAAATAATAGATTATTGCTTAAAGAATTCCATCTCCCGAATTCTTAATCCACCCCTGAATATCACACTCGATCGTTTCCCGAGAATAAGTAGTATTAAAAGTATCTATATTGTTTTGCAAATTTTTAATAGTTTTGAAGTTTTAACAGATTATTATAGCTTATAGAGTGAAGATAATATAATATACATAGTAATAATAATGAAATAAATAAAACAAGCGATATTGGTAGGTATACATTTTAATCGGAGACAATTAAAATGTACAGTTAGATTAATAGCGTATAATATATTAAATATTATTATTTAATAACGATAATTATTATGAACACCAGTCATGAATCATGAAAATATATCGGATAAAAGATTAGAATATTTATTAATGCCTGTGAGATAACTTTTGTAAAAACAGCATTGAATTTGTTAGTATTAATTTTATATTGGATTTTTGGGGTAAAAATGTAAGATATTATATTAGACTAGACTAGAACTGATTAACTGACGCGACGGAGGCAAAGAAAGGTTATATAGTTATATATTATAATAGTTGATGTTGGGGGGAAGTCTCAGAAAATTTTTCTTTGGGATTAAAAGTTTTTCGTTTATGCGTTGGAATGATTATTGATTGTATATGCCCCATACGTCCCGACGCTTAGAAACTATAACTTGAAAACTATAGGCATACCTTGAAGTTGGCTGTGTGGTCCCAGAAAGCACATTTGGCAGGACTGTTTTACGAAATTTTGTGCATTTTTCAAAAGTGCTATGTTCTTCACCACATTTGACGCATCGAGATATATATGTGGTGGTAGGTGGCAGTGGTTTTGTGTGCGACTATATATAGTCCTAACAATTATGGTATTGAGGTGGGCATAAACTGTTTAGTAAGTTTTCAACTATGACTTTGGTAAAGACGTCATATCATAAATATCGGTATTATATCATGAGGCATGAGATCCACGAGAATAATGGACGGGGACATTTGATTTTGTTTTTGGAATTTTGGATGAAAAGTTCATTTAAATATTTCATAATAATTATGTTATAATTGAGGTGACTATCTGTGGGCCGAGCAATAATAGTAGGATTAGACTCACAAGTTGTATTGAATTATTATTTATTAAGTGCTTACTTACTCAAATAATAATTGTTAAAAGTATCTATAAGTTATAACTAAAGACCGGATTTATATTCTCTTAAAATACCTACCTAAAATATGATGCTAATATTCTCTAAAAAACCTTCAAATATTCTCATTATATTCTCTTAAAAATTTAAGAAATATGCTAAAATATGCAAAAATAATCAATAAACATCATTATAATATATGCTTTAATATGCATTTTTAAATTTTTTTTTTCAACAATATTTAATTAGTGAGGTATTAATTAGGTATTAAAAGTTAAGTATTCTAATGGAGTACTATTGCAATTTAGTATAAGAGTTGAAAATTAAAAAAAAAAAAAAATTTTAAATGTTCAAAAAATTTTTTTCTGGGTACCGTAATATTAAAATTAAAAATAAATACAAATTTTTTCTCACAATTTATGAATTATTCCAAAATATGCTAAATGGATTAAATATTCTGTAACCCATGAAATATTCTCAAATATGCAAAAAAAACTTTTTTTTACGCATTCAAAATTTAACGAATCGTCCACATATTTTACTCTCATAAGACTGCATAGACCCAGTAACGATATGTAAAAACATATACATCCGACCCTTAGTTAATGACAAAAATTATCGCACGTGGAATCTGTTCGAACTTAGGAGTTATGAAAGTAGG